CGGCGGACCAAGGACTGAGGCGAGGTCAATCCGAGCTTCCCGAACTGGCATCCAGGACGCCTGCCTGTGCCTACTGCTGCAGGCCGTGGTGGGAAGCGGCCAGGAACTGCAGCAGCACCTGGCTCTTGAACGTGGGTGGGGGCGCCTCCCCGAGGGGCGCAGCGCCGCTGCCACCTTGAGAACAAAGCACAGCTCAAGAGGAAGGGCTTCACGCAGAGGACGCCGACTACCGACAGAATAGCGCACACGCGCCATACGCAGCTGGCCAGGCAATACCCGCACAGACCACACCGGCATGCCACCATCCATGCCGAAGACGACGAATCGTGTGATAACGGTGAACCAAGCGCCCATTGACACCTAATATAGCCAATCCTGCACCACCAGCATGCCCTCCCCCACCCTCCTACTCACCAGAGTACGTCACTTGGGGCGAGCGCGCGCGGACACAAGCCCTGCAGAGAGCCAAACTAACAGCGGGCTGCCGACGTCACCAAACCACCAGCTGTCTCTACCACGCCCACGGGTCGCCTATCAATTCCAAGGCGACCAGGACGTGTGAAACGCCCAGGTATACTACTACAACTTGGACACCATGGAGACGACGTGGGACGTCCCAGGCAACAGGTTGCTAGCCACGGGATGGAAGCGAGCCTTGTCCTGCGAGAACGACGACTGCTTCTTCGACGACACAGGACACTTCTTGAAGTACCCAACCATCGACACGCGGGACCGAGTGCAACCTCCGCCTCCATCGACACCACCACCTGCACATAGACAAGGATCAAGACATTTATCGCCACAAGCACGATCATACTATGTAGAACTTTCGGTCCTCGAAACCACTATCAAGCGGTACCGAAACAAGCCAGACTTCAGGAGCGACGTGGGCAACTGAAAACTCGCCAACGACCAACCGGCGGAGATGGCTACGACTGAGAGGCCACAAGGATGCCTCCTGACACTACTGCTGAGCAACCGGAACGACAACGGATCCAGCAAACCGTCCAACCGGCCGTACCGCAAACACGACGAGCTACTCACCTACACAGCCAATCGTGCACGGTCACCAAAAGGTGTCCAGCAGCAGCCACACGACAGCTCCACCAGCACGACAAGACCCGTGGACACCGAGGCCGATTGCTGCACCACCAACGCCAACCGACTGCATCAACCTCCTAGAACCGGCACGCGAACAAAGGTACAAGGCACCACCGACCTATCAACACAACGGACAGGCCGAACCAGGCACGTGAATACAAAGCGCGAGGTACCTTCGAAGCCACCACCAACGACTGCGAAAAGAAGCATGGAAAACGCAGACGACAGCGCCACTACCGATGCAACAGCGACGCCTTCGACCGCACAGCCGGTGGTAAAGGCCGGCGCCAACAGCATCCACGACTTAGGCCCCTTGTTGGAGATGACGCCACTACCTACGGGACCAACGCCACCAGACATGAGATCGGGAAGCAGACTAAGTGAGCGACACCAGGACTTAATCGAACGCTTGACAAACAACATCAGCACCAGCCAGCATAGCCGTGAATCCAAAGACGTCAAGTTACAGACCCATAAGGCCATCCCGGAATACTTCGAGAAAATGGGCGACACGAACAACACCTTCGATCTGGACATTGCGGCAGACCACAACTTTCGACTCGAGTACGATCATGTCATGTACTACGTGGTGGCTTCACTGAACTACGGTTTCCCTTACGAGGGACAATATGAGGCTCGGATGTTCCACATGACCGAACGCCAGACTTACCTCACCCAGTTTGCTAATCACCAGCTTGTGATGATGCTGACCCACAAGATACATGACGATTAAGACGACATTCCGACGTCAAGTGCCATGAATGCCAAACGACGCAGCATGCTCATGTCGATCAAGCTGGCCATACACTATAGCCCGACCTCCATGCCAACACCCTTTCCAGTCAATCGTTTCGAGAGCATAGCCGCGACACCAACAATGCAGAAGATAACCGATATCATGAATGCACAAGACTCTGGACCAGAGGGCTCAGAGAGCCACGGCGAAAGAGAGAGCAACCGAACAGAGTCCAGCCCCAAGCGCACCACAACCCTGCCCTCCCCGATTCCGACTCCACGACCAACAGCCCAGCCGACCCACGCATGGTGCAGCAACAGTCTGACCCACCCGCGCAGGAGAAACAATTCTTTGATTCGCGGGTCGAGAGCGCACCTCTTCCGGTCGAAGCGAAGCGGGCCGCGCGAAGCTGGAATCCGCGCAGGAGAAACAGACAAGGAATGAGGGACTGAGCCAGAGCAAAGAGCTCAAAAGCTCCAACGGGTGGACACCAGCTTTGGCAGAGTTCGCGGCGCAGCAGCAGCAGCAGCGTCTGACCCAAGAGGCACCGGCACACGCAGAAGCCGCAAGCAGGCATCCACACCAGCAGGAAGCACCCAGCCTGGCTAACCCCAACGTCGAGACAACAATATCCGGCCAACGGTCGGCCCTACAGTTGGGGCGTTGACCTAAGGAACCCTAAATAAGGAACGAGGCCCCTTTCTCCAATAAGTGAAACTTCGACTTCCCATCGAAATCCTAAGCAAAACCAAAGGCGAACTGCAAAACAACTAAGGAACACCGAGCCCCTCCCCAACTGAAAGGGTTCCTTCCTCAGCGCCCCGACTGTACCAGAGTCCCAGCAACCGACGGACCCGCAACACCTGGTGCAACCGACACAGTCAGAACGGTGCATCCAGACAGAGGAGCCACCCAGACGCAATAGGTGGACACCATTGGTGTCCACCTAGTGCTTCTGGAAAGCTGGATGCTCTGCCATTGAATGGCAGAGCATCCGGCTTTCCAGAAGCAGCCTACCAACAAACCAGCAGCGACCAGAGCGACTGCAGAGCTACTCGAGCTCAGCGGCATCAGCCAAACCACAACGGCCACTCGGGCAGTGGACGCCGCCGACAACCAGACCCGCCGACTCATGTTTTCTCTTCTTCATCTTCATTCTCGCCCTCCTCTGCGAATTCTTCCCCATCCCCCTTAGCTCTTCTTGCGGAGGCTCCTCCTCGGAGACCTTTTTTGGGGCCTCGCAAAAATTCTACAGGGCTTCTCGGGGCCTTCCGGATGCCTCCTGAAAGCCTCCTGGTGGCCTCTGGGGGCTTCCTCGGGCCGCCCTGCTTCCAACTGCGGTCTCGCTGAACAACCGGGTCACGAATTGGAATGCTTCAGGGGGCTCTCTCCGGGCCATCTTGGGCCGTCATGGGGCTCTCTCCGGACCATCTTGGAGCCCTGTTGCCTGGAAACCCTTTTGGGTAGTGGTGGGACGATTTTCTGGCCTCCTGGGCGTTCTCGGACGCCCGGAAGGCCGAAGAACAGAGCACTCCCAAAATCATACAGTAAGCAAGGGGAAATGCATGTTGCTTTGCGCTCCGAAGGCCTCTTAGGGGGTCTTCTTCGGGTTGTCTTCGGGCGTCTGGTTGGTTTCCTGGGCCTCTTGGGCCGTCATGGGGCTCTCTTCGGGCCATCTTGTGGCCCCGTTGGGCCAGTTTGGGGGTTTCCTGGACTGCTTGGAAGCCCTTTCGGATAGTTTTGGCATGATTGTCGGGCCTCTTGGGCGGTCTCGGACGCCTGGAAGACCGAAGAACAGGGCATTCCCCAAATCATGCCAAAACCGTAGGGGGTCATGTTTTTCTGCTGGGGGGGTTCTTTGGGTCGTCTTCGGGTGTTTGGGGCCTCTTGGGGCCCTCAGGGGGCCGGTCGGCCGCCCTCCTGACCCCGATGTGGGCCCGCTGCCTGGGCCCAGCAGGGGCTTCCAGGAGCTCCCAAAAGCCCAGGGAACCTTCTGCAGGGGCGTCCAGGGGGCCCCCAGGGCCAGTGATCCGGGGTGACCCGTTTAGGGGGGGGGTGCGTACGCAGGGTCCCAGACTGCGAAAATACAAAACAGGGAAACTGTGTTCGCCGTCCTGAAACTGGCGCGAAACCGTGTTTAGGACTTCGGTTTGACCTCGTTCTCGCCATTATCGATGCCGCCCTCTTTACCCTCCAGTTCCTCCTCCTCCTTCTCCCCTGATTCGCCTTTCTCTTCCAGTGCCTCGTCCCCGTCCTCCTCCCGCTGTTGCTGCTGCTGCTTCCCTTGCTGGTCCTCCTCCTACGCATGCGTATCTCATTCGAGTCCGTGTTCTCCTGCCCGCCCTACGAGATGAACTTTAATGTTGGAGATGAAACTGCAATATCGGTCTTCAGGCTTAATACAATACTTAAAACTCAAAAATAAATTGTAAAGCTCAATCGACCTTGGGTTCAAGTCGGCAATCTAGAACTGCACCTTCTCAATGTTTCAGTTCTGGGGTTTCAAACTCAAGTAGTGAGATGGCGACTGCGGAATTCAATCCCGGAGCTCTGAACTCCGTTGTTGAAATTGAGAATTGGATAGCTGAATGTTCATTTGTGCGGGCGCCCATCCCCGGTTTAGTGATCAAACCCGGGGTGCCGTCCCACGGGCGTCCCACGATAGCCCTAATATGCTATGTGTCGGGCTCCGACACGCAGAGACGAGCAAAAACCGACCATTTGTTTTACTCGATGGCCCCCAAGATGGCCCTCAAGAGGGCCCCAAGAGAGCCCCGAGACGGCTCCGATGGCTTTCCATCCCCACTCGCATTTTGAAGCTGACTGGGAGCGCATTCCGATAAAACGTCTGCTCCTTATGCAAGCCCTCCTCCTCCTCCTCCTCCTCCTCCTCGTCCTCACCCCTCACATGTTCGTCTCCATTCTCGTCCACATGGGTCACTCCTCGAGTGCATGCTGCTATTCTTCCCTGATCAAGGCAACTCGCCTGGAGATCGCTTCTGGATGGGATGGTGGGGATACGAGTAGCGTCATCACTTAGCTCGACTTCTCAACGGCGCTAGATCTCGCACGTCCTTCGAGCCGTGCATGGAGGCACAAGAATCACAAAACGACCATTCCTCCTGCCTCTGCGCGGCGTCCCTCATTGCAACGGTTCTGTTTTCACATGCCCGCGCTCTTTCCACAAGCCCAACCAAGTGCTGCGCAGGACCTGTCCCTGGACCCCTTATGGGGGGAGAACAAGGTATCGATACCGCATTGTGCCAGACATCTCCTGGGGAGCACACTGACAAGGATTGGGAGGCGAACCAGCCGAGGCAACGAGGGAGGGGCAACGGTATCGCTACATGCTCCTCCTCTGACCCTCAGGGGGACCCTCTGGTCTCGCCTGGCGGCTCGCTCAGAACGCCGCGCAGATGCCATCCGACGCGCTCGAGTGGTCAGGCCTTGACGAGGTCGTGGCCGTCGTCGAGCCTGAACCTCGACCAGACGCATAAGGACGAAAGGACGAAAGCGTTGATCGCCAGCAAACTGTACGCGGACAAGGTCAAGTGCGCAGCGAAGCCCCTGGTCAGTGGCCATGATTCGCTTACTGCCAGACTGGATACCATGATGCAAACGTTCTGCACGCACAAGGAGCTGGCCTCAATGGTGTTGAGAGCACCGAACTTGTACGGGTAGCAGCGCAGGTGCGCAGCTGTGAAAGTGAACATCAGGGTCAGGACGAGGAACAGTTGCAGCCCTGGGTGATACGATTCGGGCGCAGCGGCCACAGCGAACTTCAAGAGGATGTTTTTCGCAAGGCGGTTTGCCTCCCAGCCCTGGTTCGCTGGACGATACGAGGCTGTCAGGAAACGCAGCAATCGCCTGTCCTCCTCCAGCGCGCACTTATCGAGAAGCCACCACCAGAGAAAGGGACCGACAATGAACACCAGAACAAGAAGCGGCGCCCGAAATAGCATGTGAAACCATCGGTCACCGCAACTCTCAGCCGTGGAATACGCCATGCGGAAACTATCCCTGTAATCTTCAGCCTGTGTGTGGTAGCAGGGGACGACAATCGCGCAGGCCGCCGCCACGCTGGGCAGGTACAGGTTTCCAGCGACCAGCGAAAGGGTCATGAGGTCCTTCCCGAAGGTGGTGCCCAGATCCCGCCACCAGCGGACAACGCAGATGACGCCCAGAACCAGTACGGCGGTGGAAAGAACGATGGCTGGATTTACGAGCGACATCACGAGCAGCTCGTCGAGCGAGAGCACCCGCCCCAACAAGCAGTCGGCGGCGCTCGAAGATCCAATCGCCTCGCCTAGCTGGGTAACCCACGAGACATGTCCCAGCCAGTCCTTCGTGTGGTTGCTGAAGTTGCGGTTCACAGCAGAGGTGCCCAACGACGATAGAATCACGGCGGAGCTCGAGCTGAAGGAGAGGGTGATCTTCAGCACGTCGTTGGCAAGGGCCGCAGCCTCACCTTGTGCAGCTGCATTGTTTGCGCTCCGCAGCGATAGTAATAGCAGCGCGGAAGGTTGGGCCAGCCAGGCTGCCCACTGCCAACCGAAACTGCTGCACCTCTGGCACAAAAACGCATCTGAAAACGATCGGCCCCAGCCCTTCAGGCAGCCAGCGCATCCAGCAACGCTGCTGTTGTATCCCTCGTCGCATGGGCTGCCTTCCCCACTTGTGTTGCGCGCAAGGGGGCATGTGTAGTCTGCGCGCGGCGACGCGCTGGCTCGGCCGCTGCCAGCTGCGGCCACGGTGACGTTGATGGTTTCACGTGGGCAAGCACGGCTATTGGGGCACTTGTGGGCTTCTAGCCCGTGTGCACCTAGTTTCACCATGTAGCCGTTCGGCGCTTCCACTGCCAACCACTTCACTGGCAAGAGGTCACCCACTTGCGCCTCGAATGCCTTCATGCAACTGTACTCCGCAACCGCAGTAAGCGCATCGATTGCACTCTCGACTTCACGGATTGCGCTGTAATCCGCCAGTGTGGGAAACTTCGTTGCCATGCTCGCCAGCTTGCCCCTAGCCTGCTGCAGGACGTGAAACATGTCCACTGGCAAAGGGCTCGGAAGGGACATGAAAAACCGTCTCAAGGGCTTTGCAGCTCCTGCAACAGGGCTCAACCTGAACACTGTTGTCTGTTCACGCTTCGTTTCGTTTTTTTTTTTTTTTTAAAAAAAAAAAAAAAACAAAAAAAAAAAAAAAAAAAAAAAAAAAAAAAAAAAAAAAAAAACGAAGTTTGAGCAAAAACGCCGGCCGGCGTCAAACACGCCGGCCGGCGTGGCGCGTGCCGTTCTGGAACAAAACAGCGGGTGAACAAAACAGCGGCCCCCGAGCAGCCGACAATGAAACGCAGAACAGAACGGTGGCACGGCCGCGGGCCACCAACAAAACGGAAAAAAACTAAACAAGCGAGCGCCAAGGAACAACGACGACGACGACGACAACGAGACAAGTGATGGTTTAAGCAGCGAGAGCGTGAGTAACAATTTAGGCGAAGATCTAGATAAAGATTTAATCCGCGAGGGAGCGAGTGACGATTTAGGTGGAGATCCCAGCACAACCCCCCAGCACACACTCGCACAGCACGACCCCCAGCACAACCCCCCTCCGCACAACCCCCCTGCGCAAAATCCCCCAGCACACACACCCAGCACTACCCCCAACACAAACCTCCAGCGCAATCACCCAGCACACACCCCAAGCACAACCCCCCCCCCAGCACAACTCCTCAGCACAACCCCCCAGCACAACCCCCCAGCACAACCCCCCCCCTCCCAGCACGACCCCCCAGCACAACCCCCCAGCACAACCCCCCTCCGCACAACCCCCCTGCGCAAAATCCCCCAGCACACACACCCAGCACTACCCCCAACACAAACCTCCAGCGCAATCACCCAGCACAAACCCCAAGCACAACCCCCCCCCCAGCACAACTCCTCAGCACAACCCCCCCAGCACACCCCCCCCCCTCCCAGCACGACCCCCCAGCACAACCCCCCAGCACAACCCCCTGGCACAACCCCCTGGCACAACCCCTGGCACAACCCCCAGAACAATCCCCCCCAGCACAACCCCCCAGCACACAACCCTCCAGCACAACTCCCAGCACAACCCCCTGGCACCCCCCAGCACAACCCCCCGCACAACCCCCCGCACAACCCCCCAGCACAACCCCCCCAGCACAACCCCCGGCACACACACCCAGCACATCCCCCCAGCACACACACCCGGAACAACCTGCCAGCACAACCCCTTGAGAGGGCCAATTTACAGTCTGGAGGTTGTGCTGGAGGTTGTGCTGGAGGTTGTGCTGGAGACTGTGCTGGAGGTTGTGCTGGAGGTTGTGATTGTGCTGGAGGTTGTGCGGGAGTTTGTGCTGGAGGTTGTGCTGGAGGTTGCGCTGGAGGTTGTGCTGGAGGTTGTGCTGGAGGTTGTGCTGGAGGTTGTGCTGGAGGTTGTGCTTGTGCTGGAGGTTGTGCTGGAGGTTGTGCTGGAGGTTGTGCTGGAGGTTGTGCTGGAGGTTGTGTGTGCTGGAGGTTGTGCTGGAGGTTGTGCTGGAGGTTGTGCTGGAGGTTGTGCTGGAGGTTGTGCTGGAGGTTGTGCTGGAGGTTGTGCTGGAGGTTGTGCTGGAGGTTGTGCGGGAGGTTGTGCTGGAGGTTGTGCTGGAGGTTGTGCTGGAGGTTGTGCTGTGCTGGAGGTTGTGCTGGAGGTTGTGCTGGAGGTTGTGCTGGAGGTTGTGCTGGAGATTGTGCTGGAGGTTGTGCTGGAGGTTGTGCTGGAGGTTGTGCTGGAGGTTGTGCTGGAGGTTGTGCTGGAGGTTGTGCTGGAGGTTGTGCTGGAGGTGCTGGAGGTTGTGCTGGAGGTTGTGCTGGAGGTTGTGCTGGAGGTTGTGCTGGAGGTTGTGCTGGAGGTTGTGCTGAGGTTGTGCTGGAGGTTGTGCGGGAGGTTGTGCTGGAGGGTGTGCGGGAGGTTGTGCTGGAGGTTGTGCTGGAGGTTGTGCGGGAGGTTGTGCTGGAGGCTGTGCTTGAGGTTGTTTTGGAGGTTGTGCTGGAGGTTGTGCTGGAGGTTGTGCTGGAGGTTGTGCTGGAGGTTGTGCTGGAGGTTGTGCTGGAGGTTGTGCTGGAGGTTGTTTTGGAGGTTGTGCTGGTAGTTATGCTGGAGGTTGTGCTGGAGGTTGTGCTGGAGGTTGTGCTGGAGGGTTGTGCGGGAGGTTGTGCTGCAGGCTGTGCTGGAGGTTGTGCTGGAGGTTGTGCTGGAGGTTGTGCTGGAGGTTGTGCTGGAGGTTGTGCTGGGGAGGGTTGTGCTGGGGGGTTGTGCTGGGGAGGGTTGTGCTGGGGGGCCGTGCTGGGGGGTTTTCAGGGCTGTGCTGGGGGGTTGTGCTGGGGGGTTGTGCTGGGGGGTTGTGCTGAAGAGGGCTGGTGCTTCGGGATTGTGCAGGGTGGTGGCGCTGGGGGGTGACCCCCCAGCAAAACGAAACGCCAACCAAACAAGCGGCGCCTGCCCACGACAATACAGAACGCCCAACAAAACGTGCGGCACGCGCCTGTACCAGAACAGAACGACCAACAAAACGGCAGCCCGGTGGCCAAAACGCATGGGCGCGACGGCCGGCGTTCAGAGCATGTGAAAACGTGTTTTGAAACGCGTTCACAACGAAAAACAAAAGTAAAACGGAAACAGATGGAAACAAATAGGAAAACACCGTTTAGGTCGAGCCCTGTCCTGCAATAATCAGCTGGTTCATCGCAACCGATGAGGCTGAGAACTTATCCCAGAGGTCACACTCGCGAAGAACCAGCTTCAACTCAGGGAGGCAGCTCTGGATTGCTGCCAGGCCCAACTTGTCCACAGCGTCCAAGGCATCCCTGAGAGCTTCTGATTCCGTTGTAGCCCAATTGAGCGAAGGCCGAAGATACTTGACCGCGTGGTCCACGAACTCTGCACCACTACTCTGTAGACAATACGCGGCTGACTTACGGACCCCAGCATCTGAATCGTGCAGCAAACTGTGCAACTCTCCCATGGCCTGGCGCACGGCATCGCTCCCGCCCTTTCCGATCGCTTCTGCGGCCGCCGCGCGGACCTTCGCAACTGGGTCTTTCAGCAAAGCCTCCAGCTCAGCCATGGCCTGGAGCACGGTCTCGTTCCCGCCTTGCCCGATGGCCCATGCGGCCTTCTCACGAACCCCTGGCCCGCGGTCCTTGCGGCCTTTCAGCAATACCTTCAACTCGCCCACGGCCTGATGCACGGCTTCACCGAGGCCCTGCCCGACGGCCCATGCGGCCTTCTCCTTGACGCTTGCACTCTGATCTCGCAGCAAAGCCTTCAGCCCGTCCACGGCCTGGAGCACGGCCTCGTGGCCGCCCTGCCCGATGGCCGATGCGGCACTCCTACGAGCCATTGCGTTCGCGTCTGATAACATGGTCTTCAGCTCGCCCATTGCTTGAAGCACGACTTCACGAAGACCATTCCCGATGGCAGCTGCGGCCTTCACGCGGACCTTCAAGAGAACGCGTTTCGTGGACGCTTGCCTTGAAAAAAAACTGGCACGTTGGAGCGGGGGGAGGGGGGGCCCCCGACACGTTGAGCACCCCTGGAGAACCGAGGGGACCCTACCCCCTTCTGGACACTGGCCTCCCTAACCCGGGGGGGATTCGAACTGGGAGAAGGACCCCCCCCCTGCCCAAGGGGGGGGGTTCGAACCGGCGGGGGGCTCCCACCCCCCCCCCGAGTGCAAAAACGGGGGGGGGGTCGAACCGGGGCGGGGCCGAAAATTACACAAATTACAACAAACTTGTGCGGTTTCTAACCATTTCGGTACCAACCCCAACCAATTCGTACCATTCCAACCGCTTTGAAAGTTCCTCGGAGGTCCCGTACCCTGCAAGACATCTCCCAAAGGTTTTAATGCGTTAAGATGCGAGGAGTCTCCGTGCTTAATTTACCGATAAGAACATGATATATATGTATATATATATATACATCTTAGATTCGCTTCACCTGACTGCGCGGTGGGGTCCGCGTATCCAAGCACACATCTCTCTATATATGAATATACACACAAGACTGCGTTGGCGCTTCGCGCCATGCATCTTGGTCCTGAAAGTCCGGCATGCAGGCGGGATGGCAGGAAAGTCAAGCCATCAATTTAGCGATAACTCCTTGTTGCCTTTTCCGGCATCGTCGTTATCATAATGTTATTCGTTATCCTTCCTCCATGCTTCTGTTCCTTCATTCTCGCCATACCTTGCGCATTCTCCTCATCCTCCTCAGTTCTTTTTTGCGGAGGCTCCTCCTTGGAGGGCCTCTGGGGGCCTCACAAAAGTTCTGAGGCTTTCTCAAAGCCTTTTGGGGGCCTCTTGGGCGTGTTCTGGGGTCCTCCGGGGGCTTCTTCGGGCCACCCTGCCTCCAACCAGGGTCTCCTGAATGACTGAGTCACGATTTGGAATGCTTCAGAGCGTGTCTTCGGGCCATCTTGGGCCGCCATGGGGCTCTCTTAGGGCCATCTTGGACCCCTGTTGTGCCGTTTTGGGGCTGTTTTGGACTGCCTGGAAGCCCTTTCGGATAGTTGTGGGGCGATTTTGGAGCCTCTCAGGCGGCTTCGGACGCCCAGAAGGCCGCCGTCTTGGAGCGTCGGGAAGCCGAAAAGAGGATAACCCAAAAATTCGTGGGTATAACGGCTTCGGCTGACGATCTTTGGGGGTATGACGGCTTCGTGGGCGTCGTCGTGGACCGTATTGGGGCTCTCTGGGGTCGTTTCGGGAGCGCGCCGGAACGCCTGGAACCCGTCTGGGGCCGTCTTCGGGTGCTGGGAAGGCTTGGCGAAACGCCCTGCGAGGCCCGCGGGACCGCTTCGAGGCCCGTCCGGAGGGTCCCAAAGCCCCAGATCCCGGGTCCCAGGAGAGGGTCCCCCCGCCCGGGCTTGTAAAAATATAAGAAGAGGAACATTCATACATATCTATATATATATATATATGTGTGTGTGCATGTGTGTGCGTGTATTCAAGCATGTCTAAAAACGTATGGCCGCATCTGAAATCGCACACGGAAGCGAACATTTACATATCTAATGTACCAATAGCGACGGTGCCGCAGCATATCTAATCGTATCTCAATCGTATCTGATTTTCCAAGATGGATCGTCACATCACTCCTCCTCCTTCTTTGCATTCATCGTCGCAACACCTGCTCTTGCTCTTCCGCATCCTGCCCCGTAGTCCACTCTTCCTCATCCTCGGTGCCCCTCTCAGTACTCATCCCCCTTGATGATCGCGTTGTTCCTCATCCACAGCATCATGACACTTATCCCCCTCCTCCTCATCATGATCATCGCCATCCTCTTCGTCATTCTCACTCATCCTCCTCCTCATCCTCCTCCTTCTCCTCCTCTTACCCGCTCGCCCTCCACACTCCTCTTCCGCCTCGTCACCCCTCCTCGGGATGAGGGCAAAGTGACGATTGCAGGGTGTGGGGGGCAGGGGTGCGACGGATTTCATTTGGAGGGGCGAGGGGAGAATCTCGGAGAACGGGAGGGGCAAAGGGTGAGGGAGGAGTGAGGGGTGATAAGGAAGGGAGAAGGAAGTGGGAGAGCAGGGAGGAGCAAGGGGGGGAGAGAGACAGGGAAGAGACGAGAAGAGGAGGATAATGGGCGAAGGGGAGTGAGTGGATGGGGGGAGTGAGGGGAGTGAGGGAGGAGGGAGGATGGAGTGACAGTAGATGGACAATATATTCGAACCCTTACACATTCGAGGGAGATTCTAAATCACCCCCGCGCCCCCGACATCAATGTTGATCTCAGTAAAGGCGGTGCTTTTGGGCTCGAATATTTCTGTCCACTCACACCCCCCCCGTCGCCACGCCATCAATATTAATTTCGGCGGGTCTGGGGGGCATCATGGGCCACAGGGTTCGAATGGAATGTCCATGTACGGTCCCCCATCTTGTTTTGCAGGTGGGAGTAGGGAGGAGGGAGAGGAGGAGACCGTACAGATGCCACACACGTCAGCATTACAATCATGATCGCCCACATCGGCGGCATCATATCCACCATCATCATCATCATCATCATCATCATCATCATCATCATCAGCAGCAGCATCAGCATCAGCATCAGCATCATCATCATCAGCATCATCAGCATCATCATCAGCATCAGCATCATCATCATCAGCATCAGCATCATCATCATCAGCAACATCAACATCATCACCCACAACCCTCAAGGAGAAATAAGGAACAGGAGGGAGGAGGGGGAGGAGAACGGGGAGAAAGAAGAGGAGGACGATGGAGGTTCCGCTCCTATGGGCAAAACGCTGGGGCAAGGGGTGAGACGTTTCAGGAGTGCGGAGGGGTCTGGAGGAATGGGGTAATCCCAGAGGATTGGGAGGAGTGCGGAGGGTTGAGGGGAAATGGGACGGTTGTGGGAGGTGTGGAAGGAGTGCGGAGGCGTGGGGAGGACTGGGAGGGTTGCGGAGGTTTCGGGGGGAGTGCGGATGGGTGGGGAGGAGTGGGAGGTGGAGAAAATCTCGTTCGGGAGGAGAGCGGAAGGGGTGGGGAGGAATGGGACGGTTGCAGAAGGTTTGGGAGGAGTGCGGAGGGATGTGGAAGGATAAAAGGGTTGCGAAGGTGTCGGGAGGAGTGCGGAAGGGCGTGGAGGAATAGGAGGGTTGCGGAGGTCTCTTTCGGGAGGTGTGCGGAGGAGTCGGGAGGAATGGGACGGTTTCACAAGGTTTGGGAGGAGTGCGAGTGGATGTGGAGGCATGGGAGGGTTGCGGAAGTTTCGGGAGGAGTGCGGAGGGGTCTGGAGGAATGGGAAGTTTGCGGATGTCCCGGGAGGACTGCGGAGGAGTGGGGGGACATGAAAGGGCTCTGGAGGTTTCGGGAGGAGTGCGGAGGGATGTGGAGGTATGGGAGGGTTGCGGAAGTTTCGGGGGGAGTGCGGAGGGGTCTGGAGGAATGGGGGAGGTGCGGATGCTCGGGAGGAGTGCGGAGGTGTGTGGAATGATAAAGAGGGTTGCGGAGGTTTCGGGAGGAGTGCGGAGGGATGTGGAGGAATGGGAGAGTTGCGGATGTTCGGGAAGAGTGCGGAGGGGTGGAGAGAATGGCAGGATAGCGGAGGCTTCGGGAAGAGTTCGGAGGGGTGTGGAGGACTGGGACAGCGACGAAAGGTTTGGGATAGGAGTGCGCATGGTGGGGGGGAATGGGACGGATTGCGGATGTTCGGGAGGAGTGCGGAGGGGCGGAGAGAATTGGAAGGGCTCCAGAGGTTTCGGGGGGAGTGCGGAGGGATGTGGGGGAATGGGAGGGGTGCGGAGGTTTTGGAAAGAATGCCGGGGGGATTGAGGAATGGGGAGAGTTGCGGATGTTCGGGAAGAGCGCGGAGGGGTGGAGAGAATGGCAGGATTGCGGAGGTTCTGGGAAGAGCGCGGTGGGGCCTGGAGGAATGGGACGGTTGCGGAAGGTTCTGGAGGGGTGCGGAAGGGTGGGGGGGAGTAGAGCGGTTGCGGAGGTTCCGGGAGGAGTGCGGAGGGATGTGGAGGAGTTGGAGGGTTCTGAAGATTTTGGGAAGAATACGAAGGGGCGTGGAGGAATGAAGCAGTTTCGGATTTTTGTTTGGCCGAGTGCGGTGGGGTGCGGACGACTGCAGGGGAGCGGCGAGGACTGGGAAGGAGTGGGGGGGCGCGCGGAGGAGCCGGGAGGGAATTGAACCGACTGGAACGCAACGGGGGGTCTCCAGCGTAGACCTCGCCCGGGAGGGCCTCCAGGAAGGCCTCGCGAAGATCCACGGGGGCTCCACAACGACCCCCAAAGAGGCTCCACGCGGACTGACGGACGGACCCAGAGGCGACAGCACAAGCAGCGTCGACGATGATGCTCGTAGTCGTGCAGAACCAGAAGCACGACGTGCCCGTGGCGGCCGTGCATCGCTCGAGGTGTCTGCCGAAATTGTCGGGGCGCGGCACGCGGACTCAGCCATCGGGGCTTTCCGTAGAGTTCCCGATGGGGCAACGAGGTGCGGCAACGATGATATCGGCGACAGTGATAATGGCGATGATGGTGACGGTGTCTGCGCGCAGCGACCCCAATCGCACGCGGCAGGATTACTTGGGCTTGAACTTAAGAGCCTCGCTTGCGACGAGGGTCGAGAAACAGCGCGGGCACGGCGCTAGCTTCGGGGCCAGCGGCTTGGGAATCGGCAAAGTGAATGAATAAGTACAACGTCAGCCGCCGGAGCAGCACGCCAGCCTGCCCCTGCGGGCGCTGTGGCGACACGGACGAGAGGCCCGCCAGCGCCGTCTCGGGGCAGGTGACAAAAATCGGGGCGGACCCCATGTACAACATGTGCCCGACGTGCTGGTTCTGGGGCATAGTGATGGGCACGGGTTTCTTGCCCTCCAGCCACAAGAGCTGGATGGGCAGGGGGGGTCCTCATCGATGAACATCCACTCGTCCAGCACAGCGGCCTTGGCCTTGTCCAAGCCGCGGAGGCAAAACTACCCCCCGCCCGGCCTCTCCTGCACGCGCTCACCGCCGAACAGCGGCCGCACCGCCGAGAAGAGAAGAGACCCCCCCTCTCCGCCGAAGCGCCCAGCCAAGGTGACCGCCGGGGCCGCCCCGGACGGACCGCGCTTCAGGGACATCAAGATGCTGCTGCACAAGTCGGGGACGTCGATGCGACTCATCGACAGGCTCTCGCGGACGCGGTGCAACCAGCGGCCGCCGCAGACGCAAGGCGTCCGCAAGGCCCCCCTAAACTGTCGCATGACGGGTTTCGTCACGTCTTCGAGGAAGCTGTCCACGCTCTCCCACGCCCAGGCCTGCTCAATGATCTTCTCCAGCACGTGCTCGTTTTTGAACATCCAGGCAACCACCTGGCGCGAGCAGGACGTCTGAGCGCGCGCCATCAACTCGCGCGCTGCGCGGGGGTCGCCCGGAGAATTCCGGGTCCCAGACCTGACCACTATCGGCCACAGGTCCACCTCCTCGACGCGAGGCTCTGGCTTCCCCTTCTCGCCCTCGACCTGCCCCCGCGCGGTCCTGCGCTTCTCCAAAGCGCGGGCCGTCGTCGGCCCCCCCTTCGCCGCGGTCAGCGGCGGGTGCTCCGCGGGCCAAGCCAAGTAGTCAACGCCCAGGGCGCTCCGCGGCATCTTGGGCGTCGCGTTCACGCAGTGCCCGACGGCCGACCAGCGCCCGTCGCGGCTGCGGGACCAGCGAGAGGCGAGTTGGCACTTGTTGGGCAAGGCCCGCTCCACGGTCAAGAACTTGTTCTTCTTGCCCAGGTGCAAGGCCACCCGGTAGTGCGCCCGCCGGACGCCTGCCACTGGCGCGCGGTATTCTTTGAATGCCACCAGCTCCTTGACCCCGACGGGCGCGGCCCCCTGCCCGCGAGGGCTGGCGAGCCGCGCGGGGCCGGCGTCCAGGGCGCCGCAGCAGCCCAGGAAAGCGCCGCGAAACTCCTCCCGCGAGAAAGCCGCTGGCGCTTCGAGACCCTTGTGTCCGTCTGCGGCAGAATCACCAAGCAGACCTCCCGCGAGGCGTTCCTGTTCTCCTCGCCGACGACCTGCTCGAGGAACGCCGTCTGCTGGCTCTGCTTCCCCACGAGCCTGCGGCGCTTCTCTGGCCTGTCCACCGAGAGCGCCACCCCCCGGCGAGACCCAGCCACGGCTGGCCTCCGCCCCGCTGAGCCGACAGGCTACAGAGAATAACGCAATGCGGACCGTCGGGGTCTTCGGGGGCATCGTAAACCACCGCCCGGCTGCTAAATTGGGGAGCTCGTTGCACCTGGCGTCATCTGCGCACATGTCGCACTTGGGCGCGCCTTACTCACCTGGCGCACGTGGCCCACCTGTCGCGCGCCGCGCGCCTCCCGCACGCGGCGCGCTTGGCGCGCCTGGCGCACCCCCTGCACCTCTGGGCGGGGTCGGCGGATCCTGGCCATGGATGCCGCTCGCGCGGCATGGTTGGACATGTGCAAATATGCGCGAAATTACTCCGACGGTAGGACCCCACACGAAAACCTGTTTAGCTTACCCTTTGCCCTTTCCTCCTCCCCCTGGCGGACATCCTCTCCTCTCGCCCTCTGCACTGCCCTCCCTTCCTCCTTCTCTTGCTCTTCCTCCTGCTCCTCCTCCTGCTCCTCCTCCTCCTCCTCCTCCTCCTCCTCCTCCTCCTCCTCCTCCTCCTCTCCTCCCTCCTCCTCCTCCTCCTCCTCCTCCTCCTCCTCCTCCTCCTCCTCCTCCTCCTCCTCTCCTCCTCCTCCTCCTCCCTCCTCCTCCTCCTCCTCCTCATCCTCCTCCTCCTCCTCCTCCTCCTCCTCCTCCTCCTCCTCCTCCTCCTCCTCCTCCTCCTCCTCCTCCTCCTCCTCCTCCTCCCTCCCCTCCTCCTCCTCCTCCTCCTCCTCTCCTCCTCCTCCTCCTCCTCCTCCTCCTCCTCCTCCTCCTCCTCCTCCTCCTCCTCCTCCTCCTCCTCCTCCTCCTCCTCCTCCTCCTCCTCCTCCTCCTCCGCCTCCTCCTCCTCCTCCTCCTCCTCCTCCTCCTCCTCCTCCTCCTCCTCCTCCTCCTCCTCCTCCTCCTCCTCCTCCTCCTCCTCCTCCTCCTCGCGCCACCTCCTCCTCGTCGTCGCCCTCCCGCATGCCCCTTCCCTCCTCATCCTCCTACCTCTTCTCCACGTGCACCTCCCGTTCCCCCTGGTCGCGGCAAGCGACTCGATTTCCCTCGGCGCCGTCGCCGCGTCGGCCAGCACGCGCGCGTTTGCCGGCGGCTAGATCGCGAAGCCGTCGGGGCAACCCTTCGGGCCAGGCCGCTGGGGCAACCTCGCAGGCCGCAGGGGCGCGGGAGCCAGCCGCTGGGACAACCCCGCGGGCCTCCAGACGCGCGCCGCGGCGCTCAGGCGGGCGGCAGCACGAAGGCCAGCTCTGCCGCGAGCTGCCCCGCCTCAGCCCTGGAGCCCACCGCTCTCTTGTCGAACTCCTGGAGCGCCTTCCGCAGTGACGCCGGCGGCCCGCGCCCCAGGAACTCTCGCGCGGGCGGCCGCAGGATCAGCAGGTTCCGCATGCACTTGGCGCGGGGGAACATGACGTAGAGGTGCAGCCACCAAATCTCGTCCGACATGCCCGTGCGGCCAGCGTCCTCATCCCTGGCGCAATCGATGGTGACGCCCTTGCGCAGCGTCTGGCCCTGCGACAGCGTGGAGGTCAGGTAGGACGCATGCGCCAGGGTGAACCCCGAGCGGCGCAAAGCGTGCGCCCCCGAGCTTTGCCGCGTGAGCTCCTGCTCGCTGGGCCTGAACATGAGCAAGCTCCTCGCCCGCGCTTCGGCCTCGGCGTCGTCGGCAGCGCCGTCGGCGCCCTGCTGCAGCACCTCGGCGACCTCCTTGTAGATCAGGGACTCCTGGAAGCCGTGCACCTGCAGCCAAATTCCCCGCGGTAGGTAGCGGGGGCGGAAGAGCTGGCCCGGCGCGCACTCCTCGCAGTCCCGCTCGACGTCTGCGTGCAACTCGAAGGGCGCGACGGTGGCCCGTTGCTCCTGCACGAGCCCCAACTTCTTCTTCAGCTCCGGATGACCCGCCTCGGATTATAAACATGAAGTGCGGGCCCCATAGGGAGGGGCCCCCGCCTGAGACTTCGTCGCAATTCATTCACAGACGAGGCTCCCGCCTAATACTTCCTCCAGATTCTCGCCGCAGGGGCCCAAAAGCGACGACAGTTATACGTTTCGAATGACCCGCCTCGGATTAGAAACATGAAGCGCGAGCCCCATAGGGAGGGGCTCCCGCCTGAGACTTCCTCACCATTCAGTCACAGACGAGACCCCCGCCTGATACTACCTCCAGATTCTCGCCACAGGGGCCCAAAAGTGACGACAGTTACAAGTTTCGAATGACCCGCCTCGGATTAGAAACATGAAGTGCGGGCCCCATAGGGAGAGGCCCCCCGCCTGAGACTTCGTTGCACTTCACTCACAGACGAAGCTCCTGCTTGATACTTCCTCCAGATTCTCGCCACATGGGGCCCAAAAGTAACAACAACTACACGTTTCGAATGACCCGCCTCGGATTAGAAACATGAAGCGCGGGCCCCACAGGGAGGGGCCCCCGCTTGAGACTTCGTCGCAATTCACTCACAGACGAGGCCCCCGCCTGAGACTTCCTCCAGATTCTCGCCACAGGGGCCCAAAAGTGACGACAATTCTACGTTTCGAATGACCCGCCTCGGATTAGAAACTAAGGCGCGGGCCCCATCGGGAGGGGCCCCCGCCTGAGACTTCCTCACAATTCACTCACAGACGAGGCCCCCGCCTGACACTACTTCCAAATTCAAGCCAGGGAGTGAGTGATGACGGAATGATGAGTGAGTGAATGATGATGATGATGAAGATGATGATGAGTGATGAATGAGTGATGCTGATGCTGATGATGATCATGATGGCCACTGAGTGGGCGGTCGAGAGATTATGATGGAGATGGTGACGATGATGTTGAGAGTGGCGGCGGTCCTACCGTCGGAGGACCACTGCCTCCGAAGCCTACTGAGGATGAGTGAGTAACTGAGTGAGTGAGTGGGTGATCGAGTGGTGATGATGGTGACGACGATGATGAAGATTATGATGGTGAGTAACGATGAGAGATTATGATGATGAGTAGTGATGACGGTGATGGTGGTTGATGGTGATGATGATGGTAATGATGATGAGTGTGTGCGTGTGATGACGATGATGGTGGCTGATGGCGGTGATGATGGCGATGACGGCGAGCGTGCGCGAGAGCGCGCGCGAGAGAGAGAGAGAGGAAAGGGGGGGGGGGAGATCCTGCGCGGCGCGTGCAGAGAAAACAAGAAGCCCACTTTGCATGCGAGGAACAACCACGCGGAACCTGCAGCGAACCTTCAGTGAACCAACAGTGAACCAACAGTGAACCATGGCAAATTACACAATGAACCTCGACTTCTATAAAAAAGGACGTTCTATAATACTCTTTTTAATCGAATTCGAAATTCACTATGGTCTTTACTGTTGGTTCACTGTTGGTTCACTGGTTCACTGTTGGTTCACTTTGTTTTTACTGCATTCCTCGTGCGCGGGGCTCTCCGGGGTCGCCAGGGCGCCGGCGCCTGGGGAGCCTCGGCGGACAGAATCAGAATGCGAAGATAAGCTACTTTCGGCTATGTCTGCTGGCCCCGTAGCCGCAGGGGCGATAGACGCACGGATCGGTTTTTGATCGTGGACCGCGACTGGCCCCCTCCCCGCGCCCCAAGTCGCTCGCGCGGGTCAACCGAGGCGCGGGCCGCCACGGGCCGCCCGCCGCCCCGGCCCGCTGCGGTCTGCGCAGCGGTCGCCCGCCGCCCTGGCCCGCCGCGAATCGCGCCGCGGCCGCCCGAGGAAATCGCGCGCGCTCAGTTCCCGCCGCCCCCGGCGAAGTGGCCGCCCTTCGCCTCGACCAGCAAGCCGCGGCGCTCGCGCAACTGCCCATGATACAGTGGATGTGCTTAGAAGGCGTCGCCAACGCCGCGGGGCGCAGCCGGGCCAGGTACTGCGCCCGCGTCTCCGTTTTGCTCGCGGGCCAATCCCCCCCCCCGCCCCCTCATGCGCTTGTTCAGATTGGCCCAGATGGCGAAACCAAGCGGCATCAGATCAGGGGGCCGCTTCGGGAAGTCCAACGTCTGGATGCCAGCGGACTCCTTCGCCGCCGTGCCCGAGCGAGATTTGTAGCCCGCGGGGTCGCTGTCCTCCGCGACGCGGAACTGGCCGCGCACGGAAGGGCAGGCCCTCTTCAAAGTGGCCTCGTTGGTTGCCTTGCTGGCTGCCCTGTCGGCCGCCTCGCTGCCTGGCTGGCTGCCTCGTGGACTACCTCGTTGGCTGCCTCGTGGGTTACCTCGTTGGCCGCCTCGCTGGCTGCCTCGCCAGTTGCCTCGACGGCTGTTTTTTTGGCTGCCCTGCGGGCTGACTCGTCGGAGGCCTCGTTGGCCGCCTCGCCGGGTGCCTCGTAGGCTGCCTCGTTGGCTGCCTTGTTGGCTGCCTCGCCAGCTACTTTCATGAAAGCCTACCAGACAACGCCCCCATCAATATCACGAGCAAGCCCCTATCCGTTTGCCATGGCGACAATGAAGGGAGCGTGGTAACCCAGGACCAAAGGACGGCGAACGAGTGAACCGCATGCGCGGAGAAAAACCGCAATCATGTGCATGCGCTGACGATATCACCCGGGGTAGGAGTAAACCGACCTGTTCGCAGCCTGGGGAACGAACGATGGGGCCTCGGAGGCCTCAGGAGGGCTCAAGGCAGCCCTCCACAGGACCGTCTCCAGCTTTTCGATAATGCCCCCCATGTATGTTGTGGAGGGTAGGACGACAGCAACAGGCAACCCTGGGCAGGCAAAATCGAACTTCCCGCAGCTCCCGGGATCCATGGGGCCTCCGAGGCCTCCAGGACGGCCCAAGGCAGCCCTTCACAGGACCGTCTCCTTCCGTCCCTCTTCCGGCCCCCTCCGATCCCCTCCCCCCTCCCCTCTCCGTTCCCTTCCCCTCCCCTCCCCTCCCCTCCCCTCCCCTCCCCTCCTCCCCATGCCCTCACTTCCCCTCCCATCGCCTCCTCTTCCCTGCCTCCTCTGATTCACTCCTCCCGCACCTGCTTCGAAATCCTCCACGCTCCACCGCTTGATCCTCCTCCCCACCACCTCCCATCCTCATCCTTCTCATTCCTCCTGTCTCTCTCTACTGTTCCTAGTCTTCCGCATCATCATCCTCACCCCCTTCCTCCTCTTCCTCCTCATCCTGATCCTTATCCTCCTCATCCTTCGCTTCCTCCTGCACCTTCTCCTCAAAGCCATGGGATCTTGGATGTATGAGGGGTCGCTTTGAGCAATGTGCAGAACTACAGAAACCTTGCCATGGACGGTCCCCCATCTTGTTTTGCAGGTGGGAGTAGGGAGGAGGGAGAGGAGAAGACCGTACAGATGCCACAAACTTCAACATTACAATCATAATAGCCCTCATCGGCGGCATCATCTCCACCATCATCTCCACCATCATCATCATCATCAGCATCATCATCATCATCATCATCATCATCATCATCATCATCATCAGCATCATCATCATCATCATCATCATCATCATCATCATCATCATCATCATCATCATCATCATCACCATCACCATCACCATCATCAGCATCATCATCACCATCATCAGCATCATCATCATCACCATCATCAACATCAGCATCATCATTATCAGCAGCAGCATCAACATCATCATCACCCACAGCCCTCAAAGAGGAATGGGGAAAAGGAGGGAGGAGGGGAGGAAAACGAGGAGAAGGGAGAGGAGGATGATGGAGGTTCCGCTCCTGGGGGTAAGACGCTGGGGCAAGGGGTGAGACGTTTCAGGAGTGCGGAGGGGTCTGGAGGAATGGGAGAATCCCAAAGGATTGGAAGGAGTGCGGAGGAGTGGGGGGGGCATGGAAGGGCTCGGGAGGTTTCGAGAGGAGTGCGGAGGGATGTGGAGGAATGGGAGGGTTGCGGAGGTTTCGGGAGGAGTACGGAGGGATGTGGAGGAATGGGAGAGTTGCGGATGTTCGGGAAGAGTGCGGAGGGGTGGAGAGAATGGCAGGATTGCGGAGGTTTCGGGAAGAGTTCGGAAGGGTGTGGAGGACTGGGACGTTTGCAGAAGGTTTGGGAGGAGTGCGCAGGGTGGGGGGGGAATGGGGCGGAGGGGCGGAAAGAATTGGAGGGGCTCCGGAGGTTTCGGGAGGAGTGCGGAGGGATGTGGGGGAATGGGGGGGTTGCGGAGGTTCGGGGAAGAATGCGGGGGGGGGGAGGAATGGGAGAGTTGCGGATGTTTGGGAAGAGTGCGGAGGGGTGAAGAGAATGGCAGGATTGCGGAGGTTCTGGGAAGAGCGCTGAGGGATCTGGAAGAATGAGACGGTTGCGGAAGGTTCGGGAGGAGTGCGGGAAGGTGGGGGGGACTGGGGCGGTTACGGAAGTTTCGGGTGGAGTGCGGAAGGGTGTGGAGGAGTTGGAGGGTTCTCAAGTTTTTGGGAAGAGTGCAGAGGGGCGTGGAGGAATGATAAGTTCCGGATTATTTGTTGGCGGAGTGCGGTGGGGTGCGGACGACTGCAGGAGAGCGGCGAGGACTGGGAAGGCGCGGGGGGGCGCGTGGAGGAGTTGGGAAGGAATTGAATCGAATGGAATGCAACGGGGGGCCTCCAGCGTAGACCTTGCCATAGAGGGCCTCCAGGGAGGCCTCGTGGAGATCCACGGGGGCTCCAAAACGACCCCCAAAGAAGACCCACGCGGACTGACGGACGGACCCAGAGGCGACAGCACTGGCAGCGTCGAAGAGGATGGTCTTAGTCGTGCAGAGCCAGCCAGAAGCACGACGTGCCCGCGGCGGCAGTGCAACGCTCGAGGGGTCTGCCGAAATTGTCGGGGCGCGGCGCGCGGACTCAGCCATCGGAGCTTTCCGTGGAGTTCCCGATGGGGCAACGAGGTGCGGCAACGATGAGAATGGCAACAGTGATGATGGCGAGAATGGTGACGATGTCTGCGCGCAGCGACCCCAATCCCACGCGGCAGGATTACTCGGGCTTGAACTTCAGAGCCTCGCTTGTGACGAGGGTCGAGAAACAGCGCGGGCACGGCAGTAGCTTCGGGGCCGGCGGCTTGGGAATCGGCACAATGAATACATGCAAATTCAGCCGCTGGAGCAGCATGCCAGCCTGCCCCAGCGGGCGCTGCGACGACTCGGACGAGAGGCCCGCCAGCGCCGTCTCGGGGCAGGTGACCAAAAATCGGGGCGGACCCCATGTACACCTTGCGCCCGACGTGCTGGTTCTGGGGCATAGTGATGGGCACGGGCTTGCCCTCCAGCCACAGGAGCTGGATGGACAAGGGGGAGGTCCCCATCGATGAACACCCACTCGTCCAGCACCGCGGCCTTGGCCTTGTCCAAGCCGCGGAAGCAAAACTGCCCCCCGCCCGGCCTCTCCTGCACGCGCTCACCGCCAAACAGCGGCCGCACCGCCGAGAGGAAAAGAGACTTCCCCTCTCCGCCGAAGTGCCCAGCCACGGTGACCGCCAGGGCCGCCTCGGACCGACCGTGCTTCAGGGACATCAAGACGCTGCTGCACTGGTCGGGGACGTCGACGCGATTCATCGGCAGGCTCTCGCGGACGCGGTGCAGCCAGCGGCCGCCGCAAACGCGAGGCGTCCGCAGGGCCTCCGTGGACTGTTGCACGGCGGGTTTCGTCCAATCTTCGAGGAAGCTGTCCACGGTCTCCCACGCCCAGGCCTTGTCGATGACCTTCTCCAGCACGTGCTCGTTCTTGGACATCCAGGCGACCACCTCGTGCGACCAAGACGTCTTAGCGCACGCCATCAACTTGCGCACTGCGCGGGGGTCGTTCGGAGAATTCCGGATCCCAGACCTGACCACTATCGGCCACAGGTCCACTTCCTCAACGCGAGGCTCTGGCTTACCCTTCTCGCCCTAGACCTGCTCCCGCGCGGTCCTGCGCTTCTCCAGAGCGCGGGCGGTCGTCGGCCCCCTCTTCGCCGCGGTCAGCGGCGGGTGCTCTGCGGGCCAAGCCGAGTAGTCAACGCCCAGAGCGCACCGCGGCTCCTTGGGCGTCGCGTTCGCGCCGTGCCCGACGGCCGCCCAGGGCCCGTCGTGGCTGCAGGACCAGCGAGAGGCAAGTTGGTACCTGTTGGGCAAGGCCCGCTTCGCGGTCAAGAACTTGCTCTTCTTGCCCAGGTGCAAGGCCACGCGGTTGTGCGCCCGCCGGACGCCTGCCACTGGCGAGCAGTATTCTTTGAACACCACCAGCTTCTTGACCCCGACGGGCGCGGCCCCCTGCCCGCGATGGCTGGCGAGCCACGCGGGGTCGGCGTCCGGGGCGCCGCAGCAGTCCAGGAACGCGTCGCGAGACTCATCCCGCGAGAAAGCCGCCGGCGCTTCGAGACCCTCCTTGTCCGTGTGCGGCAGAGTCACCAAGTAGACCTCCCGCGAGGCGCTCCTGTTCTCCTCGCCGACGACCTGCTCGAGGAACGCCGTCTGCTGGCTCTGCTTCCCCACGAGCCTGCGGCGCTTCTCTGGCCTGCCCACCGAGAGCGCCACCTCGGGGCGTGACCCGGCCAGGGCCAGCCCCCGCCCCGCTGAGCCGACAGGCTAGGGAGAATAACGCAATGCGGACCGTCGGGGTCTTCGGGGGCATCGCAAACCACCGCCTGGCTGCTCAACTGGGGAGCTCGTTGCACCTGGGGTCATCTGCGCACCTGTCTCACTTGGTCACTCGGGCGCGCCTCATTCACCTGGCGCACGTGGCCCACCTGTCGCGCGCCGCGCACCTGTCGCACGCGGCGCGCTTGGCGCGCCTGGCGCAACCCATGCATATCTGGGCGGGGTCGGAGGATCCTGGCCATGGATTCCGCTTGCGCGACATTTTGGACATGTGCAAACATGCGTAAAAACAATACTGAACCTACAGTAAACAATCAGTGAACCAACAGTGAACCAACAGTGAACCAACAGTGAACCATGGCAAATTACGGAATGAACCTCGATTTCTATAAAAGGACAAGTACCATAATCTTGTTTAATCAAATTCGAAGTTCACAATGGTTTTACTGTTGGTTCACTGTTGGTTCACTGTAAGTTCACTGTTGGCTCACTATGTGTTTGCTGCATGTCTCGTGCGCGGGGCTCTCTGGGATCGCCAGGGCGCCGGCACCTGGGGGGCGTCGGCGGACTGAATCAGAACGCGAAGATAAGCTACTTTCGACTACGTCTGCTGGCCCTGCAGCCGCAGGGGCGGTAGACGCACGGATCGGTTTCTGATCGTGGACCGCGACTGGCCCCCTCCCCGCGCCCCACGTCGCTCGCGCGGGTCAACCGAGGCGCGGGCCGCTACGGGCCGCGCGCCGCCCCGACCCGCTGCGGTCTGCGCCGCGGTCGCCCGCCGCCCTGGCCCGCCGCGAATCTCGCCGCGGCCGCCCGAGGAAACCGCGCGCGCGCTCAGTTCCCGCCGCCCTCGGCGAAGTGGTCGCCCTTCGCCTAGGCCAGCAAGTCGCGGCGCTTGTGCAGGCTGCCCATGATGCTGTGGATGCGCTCAGAAGGCGTCGCCAACGCCGCGCGGCGCAGCCAGGCCAGGCACTGCGCCCGCGTCTCCGTCTCGCTCGCGGGCCAGTCTTTCTCCCGCCCCCTCACGCGCGTGTTCAGATTGGCCCAGAAGGCGAAATCAAGCGGCATCAGATCAGGGGGCCGCTTTGGCAAGTCCAACGTCTGGATGCCAGCGGACTTCCTCGCCGCCATGCCCGAGCGAGATTTGTAGCCCGTGGGGTCGCTATCTTCCATGACGCGGAACATGCCGCGCACGGAAGGGCAGACCCTCTTCGCAGCGGGCTGGAGCGCCCCCGAGCACATTCGATCCGCGGCTGCGGCGCTCCACCTGCCGACCACCTGGCGCCGCATCAACGCCTTGCCCGCGCCGCTGGCGCACGCGACGGTCACGGAGCCCTCGCCCGAACTCCGTTTCAGAACCCGGGGGCAAGCCAAATCAGAGCGCGCCGTCGGCCACTGGCCTGGCGCTGAGCGGCCTTGGCGCGGTCTCCGACTTGCGCTAGCCCGAGAACCATAGGGGTGCTCGGCTTGACGTGACCCACGGAGAAGTCCCGCTTGCGCTTCCTGTACACCCCGCGAAACTTGCGCTTTGCCGCCACCTTCCTGTACTTCGCATGGGGAAGCACCTGGAACACCTTGTTGTCCATGCGCGCGTGAACGTACTGCGACCACTGGCCGGGGCTCTGGTGCTTGTGCTCGCGGGCCAACAGCAGGCGCTCCTTCTTGTCCCCATCCGAAAGGTCAGGCTTCTCGTACAGCGGGCGGAACTGATAGCCATTCTCAGCAAACGCGCGGCGCACTGTCTTGATGTCGCATTTCCACTTCATCGCGGACTTCAGCATGGCTGCCGTCACTTCCTTTGTGCCGCCAGAGAACTTGAGAAGCTTCTTGTAAGCGCGCTGGGCAGCAAAAAACCCTCTGGGGGTGCGGATGGAATGCTTCGGGTGGCCCTTGGACTTCTTGGTCGCGTTCTTTTTGAACAAATGCTTCGAGACGGTGTCCGTGGAGCGGCTCAAGGCCGCGGCGACCCTCTTCACGCCCATGCCGCCGTCACACAGGCGGCGCATTGCGACGTGCTCGTCGGCAGATACATGCATGAAAGATTTCGGCGACATTCCCCGGCTGTGGCGACAACGACGGGGAAAAAATGCGCTCGATCCAGAAAGCGCTGCGGCCATCCTTCCAACGGGGGCATCCTGAAAATGGATGCAGTCCATTGAGCGAGGTCATCCTATATCTCGGATGCCATTTCCCATCAGTGCTTAGCGCCATGGGTTCAAAATGGCTTGTGTCCGTGAAATGGCCAAGATCTGCGCGACATGCGCGCGCAGGTGCGCAAAGGGGGTTCATTTTGGGATCCCCCCTCGCTGCTGCTTCGTCGGCTGCCCTCTGGCTGTATCGTTGGCTGTCTGGTTCCTGGTGGCATGCCTGCTCGGCTGCCTGTTGGCTGCCTTGCTGGCTGCCTCAATGGCTGCCTCGTTGGCTGCTTTGTTAGCTGTCTCGTTGGCTGCCTCGTTGGTTGTCTCGTTGGCTGCCTCGTTGGTTGCCTTGCCGGGTGCTGTGTCGGTGGCCTCGTTGGTTGCCTTGCTGGCTGCCCTTTCGACCGCCTCGCTGCCTGGCTGGCTGCCGCGTGGGCTACCTCGTTGGCTGCCTCGTGGGCTACCTCGTTGGCCGCCTCGCTGGCTGCCTCGCCAGTTGCCTCGACGGCTGTTCTTGTTGGCTGCCCCGCGAGCTGCCTCGTCGGAGGCCTCGTTGGCCGCCTCGCTGGGTGCCTCGTAGGCTGCCTCGTTGGCTGCCTTGTTGGCTGCCTCGCCAGCTGCTTTCCCGAAAGCCTACCAGACAACGCCCCCATCAATATCACGAGCAGACGCTTATCCATCTGCCATGGCGACGATGAAGGGAGCGTGGTAACCCAGGACCAGAGGATGGCGAACGAGTGAACCGCATGCGCGGAGACAAAAACCGCAATCATGTGCATGTGCTGACGATATCACCTGGGGTAAGAATAAACCGAGCTGTTCGCAGCCTGGGGAACGATGGGGCCTGGGAGGCCTGAGGATGGCTCAAGGCAGCCCTCCACAGGACCGTCTCCAGCTTTCGATAATGCACCCAATGCCTGTTGTGGACGGTAGGACGACAGCAACATGTAACCCTGGGCTGACAAAATCGACCTTCCCGCAGCTCCGGGGATCCATGGGGCCACCGAGGCCTCCAGGACGGCCCAAGGCAGCCCTCCACAGGACCGTCTCCTTTCATCCCTCTTCTGGCCCCCTCCGATCCCCTCCCCCCTCCCCTCCCCGTTCCCTTCCCCTCCCCTCCCCTCCTCCCCATGCCCTTCCCCTCCCATCGCCTCCTCTTCCCTGCCTCCTCTGATTCACTCCTCCCGCACCTGCTTCGAAATCCTCCACGCTCCACCGCTTGATCCTCCTCCCCACCACCTCCCATCCTCATCCTTCTCATTCCTCCTGTCTCTCTCTAGTGTTCCGAGTCTTTCGCATCCTCATCCTCACCCCCTTCCTCCTTTTCCTCCTCATCCTGATCATTATCCTCCTCATCCTTCGCTTCCTCCTCCACCTTCTCCCCCAAGTCATGGGATCTTGGATTTATGAGGGGTCACTTTGAGCAATGCGCAGAACTACAGAAACCTTGCCATGGACAGTAGATGGACAATATATTCGAACCCTCACATATTCGAGGGAGATTCTAAATCACCCCGCGCCCCCGACATCAATGTTGACCTCAGTAAAGGCGGTGCTTTGGGGTTCGAATATTTCTGTCCACTCACTCCCCCCCCGTCGCCACGCCATCAATATTAATTTCGGGGGGTCTGGGGGGCATCTTGGGCCACAGGGTTCGAACGTAATGTCCATGTACGGGAGGGAAGGAAGAGAGGGACGCGCGATGAGTAAGAATAGGGGGCCGAGATCGTGGGAGGGAGCTGGGAGGGATAATGGGGAAAGAGTGGGGGTGAGGAGGGTGCAGGAGAAGGAGGGGGTCACGGAGGGAGGCAGAGGGAATGAGGAAGGATGGAGAAAGGGAGGTCGGGAGTGAGGGGCAGATGAAGTGAGGAAGCAGAAGGAAGGAGAAGGAGAGGGCATGGGAGAAACTGAGAGCATGGAACAGAGAATGGTAACGAGTGGGGGAGGAGGGAATGAGCAGCCATCTAAATCCGTTGCACGTTCGAACTGTACTCACATCAGTCTGCACTTCTTCACCTCACGCCCTCATCATACATTTCGCCCTTGTGCTTGTCCTCCTCTTCCTCCCAAACCCTCCCCTAAGGAAGCTCTCAATCAAACAACCTTCACTCTCTCAATCATCCTTCAATCATCCCTCCTCTGTTCCGCTTGCCTCTGTCCTTCCTCCCTCATCCCGCCCACCGTCGCGTCTGCCTCGGCCCCGCCTCCCTCCCTCCTCGTCCCCCCCCCCCCCCACACCCATTGCCTCCTCACTCCGCATCCAGCCTCCCCATCGAACTCTCTTCCTCCATCCTCCCTCAATCCCTTCTGCCTCTCCTGGTGACCCTGCTCCCCCCGCACCCTCCTCACGCCCAATATGTGCTCGTGTCCCCCTCCCTCCTCGACCCCTTCCCTCGGTCCTCCCCCATCCATCCTTCGTCATCGCGTGTCCCTCTCTGCTCTCCGTGCCTGCTCCTCCTCCCTCACCCCTCTCACTCCCCCGTTCCCTCCCGCCCTCCCTCCCATTCCCGTGTCCTCCCTACCTCCCTTCTTCCCAACTCCCTCCATCCTTCTTGCTCTCCCACTCCCCCACTCCCTTCCCCCTTCCGTCTCACTCCTCACGCCTCTCTCACCTTTTGCCCGTTCACTGTCTCCCTACGTTTCCCTCCGCCCCGAATGCCTCGCTCCCCTGCCCCCTAGCCCCCTGTCCCCCTCACTCATCACTCCCCGTCTTCATCCCCCGATGGGGGGCGCCGAGGCGGAGGAGCAGCGAGGAGGGTGAGCGATGAAAAGGTGGAGGAGTAACAAGGATGAGGAACATGATGATGATGGTGACCATGATGCTGATGATGAGGAGGGGGAGGAGGAGCGTGTAATGATACTGCGGATGAGGGTTCGTATAAACACTGTGGGAGAAGCATCGAGATGGGTCAACGAGAAGGATGAGGATGACGGGGAAGCGAAGGAGGATGCAGAGGAGGAGCGAGACCAGGAAGTTGAACATGTGGACTGATGAGTTGGAGTCTTGGGTGACGCGCAGAAGTTAGGATGAAGAAAAGGGCAAGGTAGGGATGAGGAGTCAGAGGAGGGGGGAGAGCATCGAGGAGGAGCGCGGCGAAGGCGGATGATTGATGACGCATGGTGAGCGAATGAGGGGATGACGCGGGGGATGAGGGAGTGAGGACACTGAGGAAGTGGACGAAGGAGGAAACGTAGTGATAGGGAGGAAGGGGAGGGGCGACGATGGCTGATTTCACAGGACAGGTCATTGTGATGTATCAATGGAGAGGAGATTACATAGCGAGGGCAAGAGGGGCTGAGCGGATGAAGAAACGAAAAGCCAAGAGCACGATGAGCCGAGGGAAGGGCAATTGATGGGCACCGTATTGAAACGTATCCACTTATACCAATTGAGCATTAGACCACGTATCCACTCATAAGCGCCGGACCGAAACTTAAAGAAACGTGACTATACGTATCCGAAAGTCACTCCGTATCTAACAATTCCATAACCTGCAGCGCCAGTATCTAAACACGCCCAAAACGGCATCCGCTCATATCCAACCATGCCGAAGATCAACGAAATCTAAACATACGCATCTAATTTCCGTAAAAAAAACATGGTTAAACACGATACGCCAGCACAATGATTAGATCGGAGGTTGGGGAGTGCGAACGGAAGAGACCCCACTGGGAAATCGCTTTCGGTTCGTGTCGTGCGTGCGGGTGAGGCGAAGCTGTGCGAGTTCCTGAGATGGTAGAGGCCACCTGGAGCCGAAAGGGCCGCCCGTCCACCCCCCATCCGGGCGGATGTCCTGTTGGTTGTCCCGATGGTTGTCCCGATGGTTGTCCCGATGGTTGTCCCGATGGTTGTCCCGATGGTTGTCCCGATGGCGATGGTTGTCCCGATGGTTGATCCGCTGGTTGTCCCGATGGTTGTCCTGTTGGTTGTCCCGATGGTTGTCCCGATGGTTGTCCCGATGGTTGTCCCGATGGTTGTCCCGATGGCGATGGTTGCCCCGATGGTTGATCCACTGGTTGTCCCGATGGTCGTCCTGCTGTTCGTCCCGATGGTTGTCCCGATGGTTGTCCCGATGGTTGTCACGATGGTTGTCCCGATGGTTGTCCCGATGGTTGTCCCGATGGTTGTCCTGTTGGTTGTCCCGATGGTTGTCCCGATGGTTGTCCCGATGGTTGTCCCGATGGTTGTCCCCATGGTTGTCCCGATGGTTGTCCCCATGGTTTGTTCTGTGGGGTTGTCCCCCATGGTTGTCCCGATGGTAGTGCCG